GCTATGAATCGGGTCCAACTCGAAGGCACACAACAACAACAACAATATATTAAATATTTATTTAAATTAAAAAAATAAAACTTATCTAAGGTCATGCGTTATTTCTCTAGTTTGATAACAAAACTTCATTGATCATGTCTTTCTGCTACAGGCATCTTTGCTGAGGACCACCTTCCCTTCCAAGCTCATTCATTTACAATTCTCTTTTCCTTCTCATCATAAATTCCTGGAATAAAAATTGAGTTCAAATACTGGGTTTTATGGTATTAGCTACGTGACTCTGATCCAGTCCATACCATTTCCTCTTCTGGAGACCAGAATAAGGAGACTTATGTTTCAACCACAACAACATTTTTCAATAGAGTCATCAAGGAATGCAGCACACATATAGACCATAGATTTAATTTTTACTTGTAAGAACAAAAGGTTGTTGGATTCTGACTCACGTAAGCCTCATATGTAGCAAAGTAGTTTGTTTCACAAAGTCTTCATGGCTGTCACCTTTAGGAAGCAGATCACTATGAACTCTGGGAAGCAGATCACCAAGTCTTTCTTCTGAGGCATTTACATTTGAAAGAATATCCTAAGAAGACAATTTCCTTGGTATAATATATATTTTTTTTTTTGTAAGAAGGAAAAAAAAATCTACTTTTGTAAGTTTACACACCTGAGCAAACAAAGAACCTTGACATTACACTTGGCACTCTATTCTGTAGCCAAGAACATTGCTATGTAACTGTACTCATAATCTGTGTGAATCCTAGAATATTTGTTGTTGTTGTTGTGTGCCATTGAGTCGGACCTGACACATAGCCACCTCTCCTTGGGTTTCTGAGGCAGTATAACTACTGAAGTAGATTGCTCCATCTTCCTTCCAAAGAGTAGCTGGTGGGTTTGAACCACCAGCCTTCTGGTTAGCAGTCAAGTGTTTTAGGCACTATGCTATGAGAGCTCCTAGAATATTTGTAGAGAACAAGAAATATATATATATTGTGTAAGATAACATCTGTTCCATTGATACAAGTACAAGTCAGTGACCATTTCAAAATTCTACTTGTGACAACACATCATTTGAACAATACAATAAAATAGAGGCATTCAGAATAACTTTCTATAATTTTCAGCATAGGTGTGGTTTGTGCAAAGTGACAAGAGGGGAGACTCCAGCTAACCTCACACACCATGAAGAAACTAGCACAATGGTTCAACAAGTTTCAGTAACATTACAAATGTGTGGCTAAAAATCCAGAACGAAAACTTGCTAAAAGAATTCTGAAAAATTCTGGAAATTTTTACAACTGCACCGTGTCTACAGATTTTGTCATCTCCTTCTCTGTCTTTGTGTAGTCATAAGTAATAAAACTCTTGGAACAGGAAAAGCTATGCAATTGTTTCAGAGATAGCTTGGAAAGAGATGAACTGGTTAGACAGCATCTCACTCTGCAGTTCACCTTGGGTGAGAAAGACAGATATACACATAAATAATAGGTGTTGTTGTTGTTATGTGCCATCGAGTCGGCCCCAACTCATAGCAACCCTTCCTTGTGTTTCCGAGGCAGTATCACTACAGAAGTAGTTTGCCCAACCTTCTTAAATAATAGGTAGTGTTATCTTTATACAGAAAGAAAATCAGCCAATTGTCTCCATCCTACAGAAGGAATAATGATGGGTCACCTTGAGACTAGAATGACTCTGGAGTGCAAGTATAGATTAACATACTAACATTGCATGGTGAGAAAAGACAAGACATTAGAGTGAAAATTCCTCCAAGAATATTTTGGAAAGAAAGGTGAAGAGAAAGAAAAAGAAGAATAGGAGGAAGAAGAAGAAAAGGAAAGAAAAAGACATAGCAATGGAGGCAGAGACTAAGGCAGCACTCTGTGCTCAGTTTATAATTCTATTCAGAGTTTTCTTCAGAGCAAGTTTGACATCCTTGTTTCTGAGGCTATAGATAAGGGGATTCAGCATGGGTACCACATTGGTATAAAACACTGAGAAAAATTTATCCTGGTCCACAGACTCAGCAGAGTATGGCTTGACATGAGTAAGGATTCCAAACCCATAGAATAGACTAACAGTTATTATGTGGGAACCACAGGTGATAAAAGCTTTGGACCAACCTTTAGATGATGTCATATGAAAAATATTGAAAAGAATCAAAGTATAAGAGGCAAAGATAATGAGGCTAGATACTATGACAACTGTGCCTTGCAATAATGGAAGCTACCTGCTCATTAGCATAGGTGCTGCTACATGAGAGCTGGAGCAGGGGGAAGATGTCACACATGTAGTGTTTGATGATGTTGGAATCACAAAATATCAACCTTATCATATATCCTGTGTGCACCATGGCACCAGCAAACCCCATCATGTATGAACCAGACATCAACAGAAAACAGACTTTAGGAGATATTGTCACCATGTATATGAGGGGCTTGCAGATAGCCACATAACAATCAGAGGCCATGGCTGTCAACACATAACATTCAGAGTTGACAAAGAAGCAGAAGAAAAATAGCTGAGTCATGCATCCTGAAAAAGAGATAATGTTTCTCTCTGAAAAAAAGCTCATCAGCATTTTGGTAGTAAAGACAAATGAATAGCAGAAATCAATGAAGGACAGATTGAAGAGGAAAAAGTACATGGGGGTGTGAAGGTGAGAATTCAGGCAAATCAGATTAATTAAGCTTAAATTTCCCATGATGGTGACCACATAGTTGACCAAAAACAGAAGAAACAAAGGCAGCTGGAGCTTATGCTGCTCTGTTAATCCCACAAGGATAAACTCAATCACTGAAGAGTCATTTTTCATGCCATTCACTTCACTAGTGCAATCTGTGGAAACAGTGGTAGAAGATGACAATCAGTAATGAACTCTTGTTCTCTGTTTCCAAATGGAGAGCTGGAGCTGCTGGTTTACAAACTCAGAATTGTCTGAAGACACATAGGAATACATCTAAGAAGTTTGATTCCTATGATGAGTCCTGTTGGTTCCTCATTTTCCTCTCCCCTTCATCTACATTGTGTGTCTCTGTACCATAAAGGAAGCTGGTAGACTTCAATTTTTCTGCACATAATTTGTTCCTTTCTTCCCAATAATATCCTACAGTCTCTTCTTCCTAAAATTAGGGCTGGAAGAAGCACTGTTGTTGTTGTTGTTGTTATTTGCCGTCGAGTCGGCCCCTACTCATAGCGACCCCTCCTTGGGTTTCCAAGGCAGTATCACTACAGAAGTAGGATTGCCCAACCTTCCTTCCGAGGAGTGGCTGGTGG